TGCATATCATGCTGAATTGTCGGAAAAGCAGCATGTCCACCGAAAGAGAACAGAAGAGTACCTAGAGCCAGAAAATAATTCGTCGGTACCAAACGCGTATTTTTACCCGATACATGCGCACATGTACCATAATCAAGCGCTGAACCAACCAAAATCAGTACAACAGCGGCCAGTGTTGTTACCATACCAACAACTATGACCAACCTGCAAATTGAAGCGTTACAATCACATCCCTCCTATCGAATATTAAATTTTGTATCGGCTCTGTGTGAAACGCACGAAAAAACAACTGTTCTATTCCTGTTCAAGTCAGTACTTTGCGTTATTGGCATCAGTGCTTCTCTAGATGACCTTTTAATCTATTTGACTTTAGTTTTCAGTCAAATACATCGGTGTTTTGTTTGATCGTCAGATTTGGCATGAATTTTTTGGCTGATCAAACTTCAACGTAACTAACCAAAAATCTTGTGGTGATTTTAGAAATGTCACCGGCAGAAGACATATACACATGATAATTATAATATAGCAAAACGAGAAGTCGGTCTCGAAGAATGCCTCCAAGAAGTCGTGAATATTCTTAGACGATAGCAGCAAGTAGACGACAGCGATACCGAATTGTGTGATATCGATACAAATCGTCACAATCAATCTGAAATTAGGACAAGAGATTAGTCATAAGTTCTGCTTAATTCTATTTGGATGCATCATTATCCATGCAGAAATTTGGCTCATCTTTTGATTAGATTGAGAATTGTAGAGGAAACACCAGCCTCATTCAAGATCTTAGTTCACTGATCATATCTGAAATGGCGATTTGCTTCCACTTCAAAACTGAATATCTGGTGATGTGCAGTGAATAAAATTGAAATGTTTTAAGCTTTATCGCATGTTCATAGCTAACTAGTCTTAGAACATTCAAGAACTGAACACTGCACAAAGGGTAATTCTAGTTTGACCCTGTGAACCAAGAAATTGTCGTGTTGGAACTGCACTGCACGGTTGAATTAGTTCTTGGAATGCTGGAAGGCTCATTTCGATCTGATTGAGAAAGCGACCAGGCTATTGAAAAAAAAACGAACTTCACTATCGGACCCATTGCTCGCTGTCCAATTTCCGGATAGGGTTTCCGGCAATAATCACGATACTCAGGCCAACGCCTCTGCATAATTACCCAGCACTCACCGAGTACATACGATGTGTAGGTGGTTGCGGCTGCCATAATTGCAGTAAGCACTAGTCCAGGATAAAAATCTGGAATGGATGACTGACTGGAATTCGTGTAATGTTTATTGTAAGAACCATCTTTAACTATTTGAACAAGGCAATTTTTTTCGAAATTGTTTTGCTGATTGTGATTTATTTATTGCACAGTGCACTTGACAAACAGAGCTACTGGCTGGTATCATGCTGTTTCTCATCTTGTAAGTCAGCAGCTGTCATATTGAAATGGATTCCTTTTATCAAGAGCAAGTTGCACTGACTTCTCAGTAGTTTGTTTTTTTCAACAGATGAGTTTTCCTGCGTATCTGGAGGGGAAATAAGCCGAAACATGTAAACGGATGACCCAGTTTAATATGGGTCACGACTGGCAAGTTACACTCTTATGCAGCTTTAAGTTACTCTCTTATATCTCTCATTGCAGCATTAGATAGACCCTAAAAGTGAACAGAGCGATTTCGTGAATGTATAAATTGGTATTCATCTTTCAATTGAAAGATTAGGCTGAAGCAAACAGTTGGTCTAAATGTATCACTCTTGAACATATCATATTACTGACCAATTTAATTGGCGTGATATTGATTCAAAATGGCAATTTCAGATCTTTTCGCTTATGATCATAATGCATCTGAACTTGTCAAAAGCAGCAAGTGAGTGTTTCTGA